CCCTAACCCCGACAACCCCCCCCCCCCCCACTCATACTATGGGACGTTTTGGGTGTTTCCCGTCTAAATCTCAAAGCCGACGACATGGGGTAGTCTAAAATTAAAGGTCAACTGTTGTAACGAGTTGTTTAAAAATGAGTGAGCGAGAGAACAATACAGAAAAGTAGCACTTTTCATTAAACGCACTTCTATTTCAAATCATCACCACTATCATCATCGTTTGCCGGAACATTTGCTAAAAAATTTTCTAGGCGAAGAATGAAGGATCGCCGTCTGTTGGCCCCACCCACTACCCCCCCCCCCTTCCTTTCCCCCCACAGCTGCCCCCCTTCCCTATATTCCATAAGGAAAACACTGAACCTTGCCCTCCCCAATAACTTAAGAAAACACTCTGAATGCTTGGGTCTGTTTTGGACTCTCTTCGTTTGGCGACTGCAGGTCTCTTAGGATCGTTACTAGGGCTACCGTGTTTTGATTTTTATGTGGGTCTTCCCTAGAACAAACAGCACCTCTGCCGAGCAAAACCTTGTCATATGAGTTAATATCTAGTGCACAGCAGACAATCTTCTCTTTAACACCATATTCATTCCTAAAATAATGTATATTTGCCGTTTGTTTCAAAGTTAAAAGCTGACTGTTTAGCTTAGAACAATGGTTTTCAGCCTTCATAATACCGCCACCCTTTAGTTCCTCATGTTGTGGCGACCCTTTAATACAGTTCCCTCATGTTATGGCGACCTTTTTAATACAGTTCCTCATGTTGTGGCGACCCTTTAATACAGTTCCTAATATTGTGGCGACCCTTTAATACAGTTCCTAATATTGTGGCGACCCTTTAATACAGTTCCTAATGTTGTGGAGACCCTTTAATACAGTTCCTAATATTGTGGAGACCCTTTTAATACATTTCCTCAAGTTGTGGCGCTCCCCAACCATGCAATTTTTTTCGTCGCTTTTTCATAACTTCAATGAATATTTGTTTTGCAATAGTTTTTGGCGACCCCTTTGAAAAAGCCGTTCGACCCTCCCCCCCCCCCCTCGCCCCCCCCCTCCCCCAAAGGGTCGTGACTCATGGTTTGAGAACCGCTGGCTTAGAAGGTAGAGTGTAACGTGTATGGAACGAAACTGAACAAGCGTAAAGCAACACAAAATCGATAGTTTTTAATCACATTATAGTTTACTGAACAGCTTGATATAATAGAGGCACAGTTGTCTTTAGTAAACAGCTAATATAAGGTATGATTATAACTAAGGATTAACAGCAGCTGAATGAGCTGACTGAGAACCTGAGCTTTACTGCACGATAAAGGGCTAAAAAAACACGATAAAGGGCTTTAGAAAACACACGATAAAAGGCTAAAGAAAACACATCTCCAGTAGAGTGCTGACAATGAAGATAAGAAAACGTAGTCTGTAAAAATTGGCACCAGGCCAGAGTGAATAAATGTTTTAATATTGGCAACGAAAAGAGTCGTATTAACGTTATGGTAACGCTGTATAGAGCCTGTGAAAGGAGCTTACAGTTAAGAAATGGAACACCCTTCCGTTTGCCAACAGGAACGCGGCAAATAGAATAGTAGAATGACAGTGTTGAAATATACGCTGCATGTCACTGAGATAAATATCTAGCGTATTTCGAAAGGTAGATTACTATAGAATATTCTTCGTCTATCCTTTCTGTCTTTCTTACTTGCATATTCTTTCTTTCTTTCTTTCTTCTTCTACCCATCCTCCCCTTCTTCTTTCCTCTCCACAATAACAAAAACGACAACAGCAACTACTACGACAACATCAAATTAGTACTACTTCTAGCACAACCTTCACCACCATAGTGGCAACAGCTACTTCTACTAATACTACAACTAGTACTACTACAACAACTACTACTAATGCGGAATCGAGAAATGGCAGTCACAAGTTCAAAAACGTTATAGCAGACTTCCTAATAAGCTGGCATTTACTGTTAGTTAACAATTATCGCTTTTCGTTTGCTGATAACAGACTAAAACAAAGCAGACCTTGTGAATTTCGTAAGAATTGTTGGAGCTTTTGGCAGCACAGGCAAACTTTCTGCGGAGGGTGATCACAGGAGTCGAGTTCTAGGTGTTTGAGAACGACCCGGAGACCAAAAGGCAAAATTCCGAATGACTGATGTTTTACTCCACAAGCGATAAACACCCGATGACACAAAGTGCCACCATGTGGATGAGGATCACCGAGGAGAGGTCCTAGAAACCGCGTTCAGCCATTAGGCCATAATTATGGCCGGGCTATATTGCAGTCCCTGGCATAAGCCATAGTAGGGCTTCAAACAACGAAAAAGTGCATCTTTAAAAAGACGGCAAGATAAGTAAAGTTCCGAATGGCACCGGAAAGAGTAATCCTATCCTAAGGTGGCCCTACATGAGTGGAAAAAAATCCAGATCATGCTCATTTTTTTTTCTCGACACGTCACTCCAACAAGGATTCACTACTTCCACGATATGTAAATATATATATATATATATATATATATATATATATATATATATATATATATATATATATATATATATATATATTCCGCCCCCCCCCCCCGACGTTGGCTCGGAATCAAATAACAGTTGGCCTCGACTCCTTAAAAGCAACAATCTCGAACAGTTTGTGTGTGTGTGTGTTCTTTGTAAGTGAAAAGACCAGGATTATCATTACGAACTTGCAGCCCTTTTGATGGTGTTAATTTTCCTATATGGACATACCTATCTCGTTATGTCTCACAACTTATTTCCGCACAAACACACACACACAAACACACACACACACGCATACATGAATACCATGTTATATCCATATTTTAAATTGGTCGGCACTTGGTGAGTGATGTGGTCAGTATCACACTGGTAGCCTTTACATCACAGCACTCACCTATTACCCATCTAACCCTGGGTCAACCTGGAAGGCAAGGTCGTTTCTAAGGAGAAAAATATCCGGCTCAGTTGGGACCGGAAACCGCGACCCACGCCCATCTTCAGGCTATTTATAGCTCAAGATGGCCGTGCGCGACCCTTAGGTGAGTCTTAAGTGGGGAGGACATGTGGAAACCTCCAATCTTCAATTTAAAAAAAAAATGTTCTGGGACGGTTATAGCTAGCTCATTTTGAACCTACAACCGTGACGTTTGTGCAGTCATGCGTACACTTCTCTAAGCGTCCCCCTTTTTTTCGAGTTTTCAACTCGATGACCTACTTTAAAGCGTTAGTCAAGCCCAGGCTTTTCCACACGGAAAATCTCAAGCAAAAGCTTTCATATTCAAATTACTGGTAATATTCTAAAAATACGGGTACGGTTTTTCCCATGATTTTATCAGCATGTTATTTTATGGGTTTTAATATTTAAAGTTTTGAAAAATTTGAATTTTTTTTTTCTATAATCTTTGATCGACTCTAGTCTAGTCTAGTGGTAATCTACTCTATCTCATTTGACATGCTGAAACGTAATGCAGGACCATTCATTTCAAGTGTTCAGTGAAACCAACTTTGTCCGAAGTAAGACGGAGGCAATTGTCAATGCAACGATTTAATAAAGATTTAAACTTAACTGCAGTTGTGCACGCAACATTTGCAAAAACAAGTCTGTGGCCTTGGCCTTTATCGGCCTGCAAACTTAACGTCGGCGTCCTAGCAAGATTCAAAAACAAGATCCTGTTTCGGCATTCCTGCTGGGGCGCGATGTCCTGCAACCAGTGGCTCGAACCGGGCTTTTGAAACTTTCTAGTCGCGACACATTAATGGGTCGGCTGCAAAATGAAGGTGTGTAGCGCAAACTTTAAGCTTTTAACAGTTTATTTATACTGTCACTGCTGTCTCTATGTACCAACTTTAAGGGTGGTGGGGAGAGAGAGAGAGAGAGAGAGAGAGAGAGAGAGAGAGAGAGAGAGAGAGAGAGAGAGAGAGAGAGAGGAGTCATGAGGCTGAGGATTTAGGGTCGCGTCTCAGGTCCTGTTGCCACGGACGATGCACGTTAAAATGTTTAAGTTTTCCCTCTAAAACTATCACTTCACCTAGGTTGAACCCAGGTCTCTGGTTTATTGAATGGTCAGTATCTCATTTAAAGGTTTATTCTAATATCTGGTTTCCCAGTAAAGCACTGTGTTGCAAAATTACGCTTGTCTAAAATGTGTGTTACCAATATGAAAGGTTTTGAAAGCCCTCTCTATAACTGAATCTCACACTCCCTCAAGATGTCCTTGCCTTCTGTACAAACCAGTGTTAGTATGATACAGAGATGCGACCACACCCGGGGGGGGGGGGGGAGCGACATAAGCAGCGAAATCGCAATACAGTGTAAACTTTTGACCTGACAGTGTAAAGATATTATGTTTGTTTGTTTTAGTATCCAGAACACGTGGAACAGGAGAATAAAGACCCCAGGGGAATTTCAAGGGCCGTAACTGGAAGATGTTTGATAAAACTGTGGACAATTTAATTCCTTAGAATTTTAGATGAAACTGTATACACAACTCAACCCTCAGGGTTTTAAAGTGCCCATAATCAAAATGAAGCGATTTTCAAGAGACTTGCAGATTCTGTCGCTGGAGTGGCTAGATTTGATGGCTGTCACCTCCATGTCCAAGAAGAGGGGTAGCGACCTGCCAGTCAAGAAAAAGGGCAGCTGAGCAGCGCAAGCAGGCTAGAATGACCCATATAACAAGCTCTTTATCTACAGACATTGTTCCCTGCCCTCATTGTCCTATATCCTTCCCTTCCAGTACCTCCGGACTCACAAAACTCAACTATAGTTTCATGACGAATGAAAGACAGAGTAGTCCTCATCATTTGTGATGGACGAACAACATGACGGATGTACATCACATTGTACTTATAATGTCAACTCACTTGTCATGTTTTTATGTTAAGTTGAAATGTTAAAGCAAAAAAAAAAAACCAATTTTTTTTTTTTTTTTTGGATTTCTCTTCCTTCTGACAGTGTCAAGATAAATTCACGTTAAAATCTTCAACAAAATGGCCAAGCAAAAGTCATCCGACGACCAACTGCTGAAACTGTTCCAAGAATTTGACAAAGATAAAAGCGGCTGTTTGAGTCGAGACGAGGTCGAACAGATCCTAAAACTGGGGAACAAAAACATAAAACAATCACATGTTGATGTATGTATGCAGCCTTCAAGCTTTTTTTTCACCCTTGCTTCTTCTTCTACATTGACTGACTGACTGACTTTCTACCCTACTAGGACATCACACAAGCGATAAACACCCGATAACACAAAGTGCCACCATGTGGCTGAGGATCGCTGTGGAGAGGTCACAGAAATCGCGTTCAGATAATTAGCCATATTTATGGCCTGTCTATATTGCGGCGCCTTGCAAAACCCAGGGTGAGGCTTCAAATACCAAAATACTTCGTCCTATAAAGGACGAAACTAGATTGTTGTTGCTGTTGTTGTTGTTGTTGATCCAGCGGCACATGAGCTTTCGCCCTTTGGCCCAATGCCATGTAGTGGAATTTACATAGTTTCACAAGCTGTTCTTTCCCTCCGTACAAGGTGTTCCACCTGTCTGGTCTCGGATGGAGTAGCAAGCTTCTAGTCTCGCTGAGTTTTGGGCACTCAAAGAGATGATGGTCAACAGTTTCGTAGGGGTAGTCACAAAGCTGGCACTCTGGGGAGTGTTGTGGCTGTATTCTGTTTAGGTGTCCATTGAGTGGAGTATGTTGTGTTCTGAGTCTGAAAATGGTGGCCTGGTCCCTTCTTGTTAAATGACGAAACTAGATATGTACCACATTGCAGCAGTTGTATGTTTTTATCCATGATCCACCATACATCAGCCTACCCAAACATACACCCACGCATGCATGTTTGCTCGCGCGCGCACAGACACACGCATTTCATGACCATTACATACCATGTTAATTTGCCATTACGACTACAATGGTAATATTTAACAGTCACATTGGTGGCCTGGGTTTTTGGACATATTTTTTGTATTTATTGCGACAGTCAGTGGAAGTAAGCTTTTACTGGTTATTTAAATTCCTTTAAATATTTTGTTTCCTATTCTTCTTCTTCTTCTTCACTTCCTCTTTTACCGCTGTGGGTGTCGAGGGAGATATAAAGTTCTGTTTCTGGCTCTTCTGGCTGCCTCGACCATAGGCACATCGTGCTGTTGTAGAGTTTCTCTGATGTTATCCTTCCATCTTGTTCTTAGTCTACCTCTTGCTTTACGTCCTTCTTCTCTTCCGTTTATGTCTCATTGTGTTTTCTGTAGCGATAATTAATCCATTGCCGGCTTGCTAGGCATGTCGCAACTTCACCAGAGCCCCGTTAGCCAGAACGTTTCGGGGTGACCCAGGGTGGCCTTCATGGCTACCGTAGCGGTCCCGTGGCACGAGGCCACACCATACTTCGCCCACACCTAGCAATCCAATACTTCGTTCTGTTACCACCTCTCACGACGCGGACGTGGGGTTGGACTTTGAGAGGCTATTACTTGCCTTAAAAAAAATGAAATTAAAAAAAATTATATTTTGCTGTTGTCTTTCTTGAAACCACATATCTTTATGTATCTGAGGCAAAAAAATGTGTCTGTCTCCCAGACTGTTAAATACTGGAGTTAGTATTACAGGGGATGCCTCAAGTGCACTTATGGGTAATGACTAAAGATACGGCAGCGGTGACGACAAAGATGAAGTAGAAGTAAAAGTTGTTTTAAGAAAAGCAAAGGACCTTTTTCCACGCTTTTAGGCATGTAGGGCATATAGGGCTACACTTATATTTTTATAGACTAATCGGCACAAGATGGGTGATGTGGTCAGCATCACGCCGATGAAGTAGAAGATGGGATATTAAATATAGGGTTTTAGTGGAGCCGTGACAAAAAGATAACTATCCGGTAGTTGGGAGTGGGACTTACATCCCCTTACGGATGCTGATGGAATGCTTAATGATAAGAAATATAAATTTTTTCTCGTGGACTTGGACTTCTAGTAATTCCCCCTGGTCTCTTGGTAGTGAGATCGGACACCCGTGTGCATTGTTGCACCGTAAAAAAAAAAATCCCTTGGCAGCTGGAAATCGAAAATAGTAGCCTATCGGCGCTGCACAGGCAAAATTTGGAATCAAAAATCTACCCAGAGTATTTCTGGATCTTCACCGGTGCTATAGAGCCTCAGACTTAAGAAGAAAGAACTGAGCACTTATGGGTTACACCCGTGCGCAGTGATGTTGATCCGTTGTTAAAAACCTCAAAACCTTTCCCACGAGAGCCCGAAATATTTATCCTTTCAGCCAGTGACACATAAAGAGTTCATATCGAAACGAATTTCTGTCTTTATATTGACCAGGTCGAGAAGCCTGAAATCAATGTCAGGAAATACCCTTGAAAATAAAGCAACTGACGTGATACTTTAGACAGTATGATAACCAAAAGAAAATGGAAAGGTTTGGCCACGTTAAGAGAATGAATCCTGATATACCTGCCAAAACAGCTCTCACATGGACACCAGAGGGAAAGAGAAAACAGGGGCGCCCAAAAGTAACATGGAGACGAACGATGGAAAGTGACCTGAGTGCGGCATCTTTGACATGGAAATCTGCACTGAAGATTGCACAGGACAGGAAAGCATGGAAAGTCCTCTCTGAAGCCTCATGTGCCACTAGGCATAACCAGAACTGATGATGATGATGTGATGTTGATCTATTAGATGCATATTTATATTTTAAAATATAGGTCCAACATCATATACACGACGCACCAATCGAGAGTATAAGTTATTTTGCTTACTCCTGATATTTCTGCTTTTCAATAGAAGTGCATCTTTTTTCTCCTCAAAACAGGAAGTGTTCAAATTTTTCGATACCGACGGTGGCGACCAGAAAATCACTTTTAAAGAATTCAAGGAGGGTCTGCAAAAAATTGCGGCCTTGTAAGTATTTTATTTTTGAGGTAATTTTTTTATTTTTATTTTGTCGTTATGTTTATGTTACATCTCTTATTGGGCACAACATGGGGGCTTATAAATCATCCCGTGTTTCTTTAACTGTTTTTATCGGGGGTTTCCTTTATGTACACAGAACGAACCCTGGAAGGCAAATCCGGTGAACAAATACCTTATAAGGTCGCATGTGTCAGCCGACAAACGCAAATACTGCAGCTGTGCTGTAAACAGGCACAACGCAATTGAATTACTCAGATGATCGAAAAAAAAAAAAATAACAGAAAGTTCACTAAAAAACATTCTTTCTTTTATGTGTTATCTATGTTCCTTACGTCTCAGAACACACAATTGTTAGTAACCATTTCAACACACATGAAACTACCAAAACTGTCGTTGCTGCCACAGGGCCAAGGAATGCATGTAATGGGTGTATTTGGCACTACCCCCTTCCATTTTTTTAATGCATCATTTACTATTTATTTGTCTTCCTAAAGTCCATGTCGTGTGGCGCTGGTTGTTATGTCTATTCCCAGCCTTAGTCTCCTGTACTATCAGTCAACTTTGACACAGATGATCCTCCATGCCATGATGTCAAACTGTCCAGCAACCTATTTCACTCGGTCTTCCCCTGTCTCTCCCAACCTCCAACTTTCCTACTGTCACGATGTACTCCAGTTTTCTTCTTATCATCACTTGACCAAACAATGTAGATTGTCTCTTTCTGATGTGGGCAATCAAGTTATCTTCGCGATTCAGTTTATTTTAAAACACCTCATTACTCGTTTTATCTGTCCAGGCTATTTTCCTCATTTGTCTATAAAACAACATCTCTGCAGCTTCCAAATAATTTCGGAGACTGGTAATTCTGGTTATGAGTTTATATTCTTTTCAGCCATCTTCACTGTGAAGTTTTCCTACATATCGGGTTCCGATTCTGGGCAAAAATTCACTAACGCTGAAGTCGATGACATCTTCGAACAATTAGATCCAAAGAATAATATAAAAATATCTTTGCAAGAATTCATACATTTTTTTTTTGGTGGGGGGGGGGGGGGCGTAACACTAAAACTTGTTTGGAGAAAGATAGAGATTTATTGAAAAGTAATAATTACTTACTGAAGGTTTATTATTCTTTTCATGAATGAATTATTTGCTTTCAGATTGCATGCACCGTTGCATTAGGCAGTATTTCTTATATCCGATGCAGATTAGAACCATACGTCTTCTGTCTATAATAGTATGTACGCATTTCTTTTGCAGCATCCAGGGGATCAAAGATCTCTTCAAATCTTACGACAAGGATAAAAGTGGAACTCTGGACAAAAATGAAATGAAGAAGGTACTCGACGAATGTGGGCACAAGTTCACTGATGCTGAAGTCAACGAGATCTTCAAACAAGCAGATCGAAATAATGATGGCAAAATATGTATCGACGAATTCATGAATTGCTTGACGTAGACCTGAAACTAGTTGAGAAAAACAGTTTTATTGAAAAGTAACAATTACTAATTTGAGTCTTATAATTTTTTTCAATAATATAGTTGCTTCTATATAATACAAACTTGTGCATAAAGTAGTATTTCTTCTTCTGATGACAGATTTCACTATCTGCATACTGACTGTGTGTGAGCCATATGTTTGTGTGTAGTCATAAAGTTTTTTTTTTTTTTGGGGGGGGGAGGGGGGGGGGGGTGCGGGGGGACCACGTTTAAAAAAAATATTGTGAGATCTGTATACGAAATAAATAGAAAATGAAATAGGAAAACAACAAATAAAAAGAAATATATTTCAGCTGCACAAATTAATTAACATGGAAAATGTTAATGGAAAAACAGAAACATATTTTATTATTATTGCGCGTTAAAACAAGTGTTGCAGGTATTCAGAGCCATTAAATTACCTTATTATTATTTAATATTGCCTTTCCCCCTTCACTTTCTTAGAATTCGTTTTTAGACACACCATAAACTGCCTTTCAGGTCGAAAACAACCTTTTGGGGGAGGGGGTGGGGGCGCAGGAAACGTTGTGTATATGGTGCAAGCTCCTTATTTTAATATGTCATTTATGTAGAGCAAATCTACAGAAAATAGAAGGGAACATGAGACAACATAACAATGGAAAAGCTCAGTGACCCTACCACATTTAAAAGCTCTCAGTTGGATTCTGGTTTATTTCGTCACTGAATGCTTAATCAGAAAAAAGGGGGTGGGGGGCTTTGATCTTATCTTTAGCTTGACTACACATATCGAACTGTGCGTTCTTCGGTCCTTTTTCATAGCGATTACTCAAATTGTCAAAAAAGAATCATGATGCACAGCATATCTATCTGATTCAGATATTTAGACAACAGTTGTATAATTCACAGATTCAGATATTTAGACAACAGTTGTATAATTCACAGTTTTTTTTTTCTCACGTGTGATACGAAATGTCTTAAGCTGAAATATTTGCAGTACTTCAGTACAGTGTGATTATACAAATTGTTGGCTGCCTTTCATTTTCTGTGGATATACCAGTACATGTTTTACTCTGTCTAATAAAACACATATATAACACTTTGTTACATGTTGCTTTTGTGGAGTTACGTGGTCTCGAGACATGGTGCCCGCCTTGGATGCTAGTGGTTCCAAGTTCAATCCCCGGTAAGGGCTGGGGGGTTTTTTTTTTCACGTGGACTTGAACTTCTAGTAATTTTCTCTGGTCATTGGGTAGTGAGATCGGAAGTGCATTGTTGCGCACGTAAAAAATTCCTTGGCGTTTGGAAATCGAAAAGAGTAGCCTAACGGCGCTGCCCGGGCAAACATTTTGAGTTAAGAGTCTATGTAAAGCATTTCAGGATCCTCGCCGGTGCTTCAGAGCCGGTGCACTGTGCTGAGCTTCTTCGGACAAGACTCTAGTTAGAAGAAAGAACGGAGCACTTATGGGTTACTACCCGTGTGCCCTGATGTTGATCCTTTGTTCAAACTTCAAACGTGTTGTTTTTCCACATTCTAAAACCAGCAAAAGAGTTTAACCTAACGACGCTGCCCCAGGAAAATTTGGAGTTAAAAATCTACCTAAAGTATTTCAGTCTCCTCGCCGGTGCTAAAGAGCCTGTGCACTGTGCTGAGCATCTTCAGACTCAGACTTGAGTTAGAAGAAAAAACGGAGCACTTATGGGTTACTACCCGTGTGCCATGATGTTGATCCGTTGTTCAAACCTCAAACATGTTGCTTTTCCACATTCCACTTATGGGTTACTACCCGTGTGCCATGATGTTGATCCGTTGTTCAAACCTCAAACATGTTGCTTTTCCACATTCTGACAGCGGCAAAAGGGGAAAAAAACATACATAGATTATGAGAAAAATGTTACAATAATTGTATTATTGTTCAACATTTCTTCATTTTTAAATGTTTCATCTCTAAACAGTTTGTGGTCCTCCGCTGACAACATTCTGTCTTCCCGGATAGTGGGCGACCGCAGTCAAAATTAGACGAAGGCAGTGTGGTCGAGGCTGCCTTATATATCGGTTGTTATCCCGAGCATATTCCACAGTGAAAGTAAACAGCCGCAGGACCACATAAACCCACTATACGAAAGTTGCCTTAAACATCACATGATGATCAGTATGGAAAAAAGGTGTGAGAATAAGCAGAGAGCAACATGCCATTGACAAAGATCAAAGTCTGAAACAAGTGCAAGAATTTAAATACTTAGGAAGCCTCCTTATATACAATGTTAAAATAGACAGAGGGATAGACACGAGAAACCAACAATGTCACGTATTAACTTGCTCCAATTGTAAAACACCCTCATATCCCAATAGAGACAAACAGACAAATTATAAATACAATATTTATACCTACTTTAGGTTGGCAGTTTTAGACTTGGACATTGACAAATGAACACGAAAGAAAACTAACCGCCTGTGAGAGGAGATGTTTGAAAATGACCGTGAATAAAACCAGAAGAGATCGAGTGAGAAACGACGTGATCACAAGAACTGTTGGAACAACACCCATGGTCAAATATATTGAGAAACATTGAATGAAATGGTTTGGCCATTTAATGAGAATGAAACCAACGATGCCAGCAGCAAGAGCGTACAACCTGTAAAGCGAAACGCCAAGAGGATCGGGAGACCGAAAAAAATATGGATCGAAGGAGTCATTGACATCTTGGGACTGCATAGCACCACGGCATATCAAGCGACCGAGCGCGCCCTGGCTCGGCTGCCGATCGTCTGATGAACTGCGACGTCCCACCCCCACCCCTCCCAAATTTATTCCGCCCGACATAACACAACCACAATACACGCTGCTCACACTGGGGGGAAAACGCAGACAGTATCTTGCGTTGGAAATGCGCACAAATTACCATTCCAGGAGAAGGGAACAGAGCACTTCGAGAGAATTCAGAGCTATCGAAAAATAACAGAGCCGCTTGTGGCTATTTTGAAAACGGGAGTCCGATCGTCACAAAGCAAGAACTCCATAAAAGTTAGCTGCGTATTCTATACAGGAGGTTGCAGAACCAACCCCAGGATGTTTTCTCTGGTGTGGTTTTCCTAGGCTAGTTTGCCATTGCTTCTGGATGGTCGGCTTCTCGATACCACTGTCGAAAACAACGCAAAGCGCAAGGCCCCCAGCTGGGATCGAACCCGGCACCCCGACATTACAAAGCGCGTTCGTAACGCCTAAGCCCTATACTCAGACCCGAACTCTATACATCCATTTTGAGACTTCCGGTTTAGAAATGGCAGCGTGAAGACGTGTTTGCGGCGACACTCGATTTTATTCTAAAATTTTCACTTAATCGGTGTTTTTCTCTTGATAACAAAGTGCGATTATTACGAATTCATTGACGATGGATATTCTCTTGTTCGTGGATACAAGTATTATGTGGTTTAGGGGTGTTATAAAGGAATTATTTCCACAAAATAGCCACGGCGGCGGCCGTGTCCTAATTCCGATAATGTAACCGCGTAGGAGCCACGCTCCCATTATAAACATGGGAGTCCACGGGTAAGACCCCAGTCTACTCTAGCAAAACAAGGTGCTGAAGTCGGAGGCAACCAGCCAGGAGGCGCACCACAGCAATCAGGATGCCACGCACAAACGCAACAAGGAATATTTCTATATCTGCAAATAAGTTTGATTTCCACCATGCGACCCACTCACGTACACGTGGTTCGATTTACCGGCCTAAGACAAGAAGAAAGAGTCCAGCTTCAAATACTCGAAGCCTCCCACTAATGCCCCGTAGAACCAGAAAAGCAGAAAATACAGCTAGCCTTAAAATAATGCACTGGAACGCGGAGGGAGTAAATACTAAGAAATTAGAATTAGAAAAAAAACGTCTTGAACGAAGAGAATGTACATGTATGCTGCCTACAAGAGACTTATCTCAAACAAGATATGGCCTTTAAGATCAGAGGCTACCAGTGTTTCCGATCTGACCGCAAAGACAGGAGAAAAGGTGGAATTCTTACCCTGGTCAAAAAATAACATCCTTGCGGGCCGGATCGAAACATACATGGAAGGTGCTGAGTATCAAACACTTGAGCTCAAGTTAGAAAATACAGATTTACATCTGACCAACTATTACTGTCCGAGCGACCGCCCTCAGGCACTGGATACAGTACTAATAAATGAAAAAATGATCATTTGTGGGGATTTTAATAGCCATTCCCAAAGTTGGGGATACGATCATATGGACCAGAGAGGAGAGAAACTAGAGGACTGGCAGGATGGAAATAGGTTCATCCTCGTTAATAAGCCAACCGACCCACCAACCTTCTACTCTAGAGCATGGCATACCACCTCGACACCAGACCTAGCCTTTCACTCAGCAGACATGGAACTGAATGTTACCAGAACTGTTGGGAAGCAACTAGGAGGCAGTGACCACCGGCCAGTCTTTCTAACTATAGAAAGCCAGTCTGTAAGAGAGAGCAGCACACTGCCAAGGTGGAATTTTAAGAAGGCAGACTGGAAGTTGTATTAGCTTCGCACAAATGTTCTGCTGGAAAATCTAAACACAGATAACGACGTAGAAAAAGTAGTCCAAGAGTTGAGCAAACGCATGCTGCAGGCAGCCCTAGAAGCAGTTCCAAGAGGTGCGCGTAAACAATACAAACCGTACTGGAATTGCGATCTGGAGCAGCTGCACAACAATATGGAAACAGAAAGAAAACAAGCTGAGACCAGACCTTGTCAAGAGCAGTTTAACAACTACCAACATTCAAAGGCCAAATTTCAAAGAGCCAAACTGCAGGCTAGACGGGCAAGCTGGCAAGAAAAGACAAAGTCTCTAAACTTTGAAAGAGACACAAGGAAGTTGTGGAGGTTAATTAAGCAAATTAATGATGAGAATACAGGAAGAAATGGTAATATTGCACTATGCAAAGAGGGAGCCATCCTAACAAGAAAACAGGCAGCTGACCACTTTGCAGATTCCTTTGCAGAAGACAGC